TATGACCCAATGGACCAAAACAGTCACTTTTACTTATTAAATGTTTTAATATTATTAATCCTAATATTTTAAATATTAGTCCTAATACTTTTATCAATTTTTATGCAAATCATCCCCCAAAAATTTCAATTTATTGTCCAGAAACACACTTGTAATGCCTAGTTTTTTTCATTACTTTTTCACGAAGGAATCTCTTACCGTTGCAAAGACCACTAGGACCAGCGGTAGTACAACTAGCAGCAGCAGCACCGGCGGAAGTGGCGGATGGTGAATCAGCGATATCGGTTGCTCGATTATGGTTATACTTGCGAAGATGTAGTTTCAGACTGTGGCAATATTTCGTAGCGTAGGTGCAATCACGACAACGAAACTGATAAATGTTGGTGTGCGATTTCATATGCGAATTCAGCATCGACTTATTGACACATGAGTAGGCACATTTTTTGCAGTGGAATGGTTTCGAACCCATATGATTGCGTAGATGGTATTCCTGAAACAAGAATTCGTTCTTCGCATCTTCTTGGTGCCTAACAAACAAGCGCTAGTTTTCGTAGCAAGGAGAAACTATAAAGTCGTATATGCACACAAGCTCGCATATCGAACACATACATGTAACTGGACCCATGTTGTGACCAATGGCGCTGAGCAGAGCAGCTGTTAGAAATCCTCTAGGAAAACCGCCTATATAAGGCAAGGACGGCGGCTAAGATAAAAGAGTTGCATTAAGTCCGCGTGGTAGTAAGTCCGGAGACGTATCGCCAGCAGGAAGCACCGTCAGGATCGTCGTGGCCGTACGCTGCTCATCGCCACAAGATCGTCGCTGTGAAGCTCCCGGTTTTGTGGATCACGGAACAAAGGTCGCAGCGGCCAACGCCTGCCTGCCGTAAGAACCCGAGTTTTTGCATTGTTTATTGCGTCCGTGATCTTGATTGGGTTGGGACTTGTGTGAATAGACAGTTTATTGTTGACCGGATTAACATTCACACATATATATATATATATATATATGTATATATATGCAAATGCACAGATGCACGCATAAATATATACATGCTTACTTTAATGTGTTTTTTCAGCCC